AAGAAATTAGGTGTATTTAATTATTGTTGAACTCAAACTGAATACAAAGTAAAGGTAGTAAAATGTATAAGACTCACATGAATTTCATAAGAAATTGAAAGATCGATAAGAAACAATTCCAAGTATAGTGATTAATTAGTAAATAAATTGACCTCATGATCCGTAAATTCTGTTTAATTTCTTTAAAGGTTGAATGTTGGGAATACTTAGATAAGAAATTACAAAAAAATAGCCTTATGGAGTAAAATTGTGAAATACCCTTGTGCTGTAAAAAGACCAAGATTACCCCTGAAAGTGAAAAATAACTCTGAAAAGACATACTTGACCCAACTTAAACTACTGAGACACCTTTTAAATGCTTGTTTTGTTTAAAAAACTTTCGATATTCGATTTAAACCTCCGATAAAGCAAAAGATTTATAATTCTGATTCTTGAATAAACACTTGTAGACTAATTTCTTGGAAGTAATACAAACGTCATAATTGAATGAAACGACTGAAATACCCTTGAGATGAAAAAGGGACCTAGATCTCCCCTGATAGTAGAAATGCCCTAAGAATTTATTAATGTCTTGATAGAACTACAGATTCATAGATCTGATTGAAAAAGACTGATAAACGATTTATAGCCTTCGAGATAGTTACATATTCAAATATTCTGATTTCTGAATAATAATCCGATGGCCAAATTACCAAAAAAAGAGCATATGTTTGGATTGAACAAAATTATCAAAATGTCATCAAGCTGCGAAATGACTAAATTAACATCTAGAATTAAAATGACCTAAATACCCTTACGACTTAGATTAAGTGAATGCCTCTGGATATACTTAAGAAACATCGATAAACGTAAATGTTATACTGCCCCTAAAGGTTATGGAACACAATCCAAGTCGTCAGACATTTTGAATACTATTACAATGCAAAAATAAATAATATCATCGGCATACATGTCCGTCCCCTCGAGATATGTTAAATGGTAATTTTGATGGTAATCAGTTCAACTAATGTTGTTAGTATTAAGGAATATTGAAATTCTGATAATTTGATATAAGTTTGGCATACTGCGAATTATCATTGTATTTTACTAGGAATTCTTATGGTAGCAAAATTGATTAAAATGCCTCTGATGGCCTATATAATGAAATTACTCTGGTTATATCTGAATATGAAATTGTTCTGATGTGAAGGTTCATGAATACCTTTCAAATGCACTCGAATCCTATATGGTTCTGAAGCTTTAATTTCTAAAAGTTTGATTAGCTTCGTTAGTAGTCGAACCCTTTTAATAAGGACCCAATACTTGAAATCCAACCAATTTTACGTAAATTCATGTTTTTTATTCCTGATAATTACCAAGCACCTCTGAAAAATATCTAGATCATCTAGTGTGTTCCTGAAGCACAAAGATATTTTCTCTAATTTACAAAAAGTCTGACTCTGTTATTTGAAATAAAAACATGATTTCTGATTACTAGTTTCTGATTTCTGGTTTCTGATACTAGGTATAACTATCTCCTGATTTTCTGATATTATTGGTACTGTCTAAAACTGTTTTATTTGGGTAGGATCCTAAAGTTCTAAGGTTCAGCTTTGATCAAGTTAGTAATTTCTTACGGACCTAAGGTGGCCCTTGGGTAGGCCCATAGGCCCTAATATACTCTATTAGATTAGCTCCTACACCCAATAGGCCTAAAGTAAGTCCTTATGGATATAGTTATAGGAAACCGTATATGGAGTGTTTGGTTAGAGGGTAACTCTGACCATTTGTGTACTTCACGCTTCTTTTAACTTTGCTTGGTAGGCAACGATAATTGTTTTCATGTTAGTCTTCTACAGTTGATTTTCTTTAATTTTCTTTTCCCCCTTTATCACATATTAGTTTTTCCTTTAACTTTTTTAGTTTTTAGTGACTTTATTTTCATGATAAATTTGTTGTCCTTATGATATTATTTTATCTTTTTGAACCATTCTCGATTTTTAGACATAAAATTTTTATTTTTAGGGTTAGATTTTATATCATTTTGAGTGGTCAAGAAATTATTTATTTGTTTTCATGTTGTTATTTTATGTTTTAAACTGTCATATTGGATTTAGATAAGTAATTTGTATTTATAGATCATTTTCTCATATCGTTCGATTATAATTTGTGATATATATGTGATATTTCAGTAGTTTGATCTCTTTTATGTTTCCTTGTTGATGTGAGCAAATATATTCTTAGTTATCTTTTGTTCAAGTGTTTTTTTGTTAGATTTTCAATATTTTCTTTGTATAATATTTGTATGATCTTAAATGATTAGTTTTTTTTCATAATTTAAAAAAAATCATAATCATATGTTTATGCTGTGGTTATCATTGTAAACTTTTATTATAATTTTAAATATTTATTTATTTTTTATAAAGGAAGTGGAAAGATTATTCGGGATTTTAAATAATATTTTTATCATAATAGCATAGCCACTGAAAGTTGAAACTATGATCCAACGGCCATAAATGAGAAGCTTCTGGTTTACATTCAACGGCTGTTCTTTATTACATGATATGACGTGGATCAGTGACGTGGGTGGAAGCTGAACTTGGATTGGTCCGGCTTCTGAACTCTGGATTTATGGATTTCTCCCTCTCCTTTCTTTTCAAATCCCATGGATTTGAAGTAAAAAAGGTCTTTAGATTTTTCTTTCCACGTGTCAATGTCTTGTTGGTTCCCTTAATGCTTTTAGATTTATCTAAACAAATAGAAAAGTGCCACGTAGATAGAGAGAATTGAATTTAGAGTAATAGTTAGGGATGGACCTAGAACGATGCCGACGGATTCTAACCTGACTTAACCTTATTTGGTCGTAGTCTAAAATGTTATGTTTGATTCAGACCCATTCGAGCTTTTTTAGAGATAAAGTTAGAGTTAGGTCGGTTGGACTGTTAGAGGTATTCTATGGAAGTTGTTTTTAAATTGGCGTTGGAGGCATCCTACTATTCTACCTCCTCTTATCCTATTGCATATGAGAATAGGGTTTTGTTGTTTTATTTTATTGTTGTTGTTAGAGTTAGGTCGGTTGGAATTTAAGATAAAAAATATATGATCTCATTCAACTTAAGAAATATAATTTTATCTTATATTTAGGTATAATAATAAGACTCCTCTGTATATTATTATTTTTAAATAAATTTTTATTTTTATTGAATAAAAATAATATTTTTTTTGTTTTAGGTCGAGTCAAGTTTTTATAAAAATATTATTTCCAGTATGATATGGTTCGAATTATATCTCAAAAGGACAGGTCAAGTTCAGGTCGGATAATGGGTATATAACTTTTGGATCAGCTTCTATTCACGTAGAGAATGTGTAATTTTTAGGTTGAGTCGATTGTACTGGAAACCGATCCAACCCTATTATAGAGATCCCTAAGAAAAATTAACTTTAAAGCATAGACGAACCTAGGCTGGGATGGTCCCTAAAAATCTAAAATATAATTTTAAATTTTTTTCTATATATTTTTTATTAAAAATTTATTTTTATTTCTTAAAATTTTATTCCTCGTTTGAAATTTTATAAATTTAAATTAACATAAGATTTTAAGTCGTCCCTACTTTAAGGTACTAGTATTCATGATCGTACAGTACCATTGACTGCCTCATACGGATACGATGTTATCCAAACCGTACAATCATTTTCAGATCAGAGGCGTTAAAGACTGCATCGGGAGCTTTCAATGCGGATTTCATTTCATGGGGTTTGCAAGAGCCGGAGACGAAGTAAAATAAGGGTGAGTTTGATTGGAAGAATATGAGATTTTTATTAGAATAAAATCTATATTCTCCTGTTTAATTGGTCTCGAATGTCATTACATCTATTTTCTTAGGTATTGTTGGATTACCGATGTTTTTGACTAAAATGCCCTTAATTTTTTTTCTTTAAAAAATATCTTTATTCTGTCATTGAATAATCAAAATTCTACGAAGGTTAAATTACAAATTTATTCTTAAACTATTTTAGATTTATAAAATAAAATCTATAATTAAAATTTTATATGAAGTTCAAGGGTTAAAATAAAATTTTACTCTTTCATTAAACTTTTTTATATTTTAATTTGAAAAAAAATTATATAAATTTTATGAATTTATTTTTTTAAAAGAAAATATATAAATAATTTCCAATTTGTTAATAAAACAAATATATAATAAGGACAATTTGGTCAAATATACATTTTAATAATATTTTATTCATTTAACCAAACATGGTAATCTTACATTCCTGCTAAACCAACCAAACACAAAATATAACATTCTCAGTAATCCTATTCTCTGGTAATCTTTTATTCCCACTGGTAATCTTACATTCCGTGAACCAAACGCACCCTAATAGGTATGAAGGCTATTCCCTGGTAATCTTTTATTCCCACTGGTAATCTTTTATTCCCACTGGTAATCTTTTATTCCCACTGGTAATCTTACATTCCGTGAACCAAACGCACTCTAAGAGGTATGAAGGCTCGAACACAAAATTTTAAGTTAAACATAAATATAAATTTATAAAATTTTAGAAGAATAAAAATAGAATTTTAATAAAAAAATATATTAAATTTTTTTAAAATATATAATAATTTTATAATTATAGAGGCGACTGCTTCCCTACACCCCGTCTAGGTACATCATTGATTAAGGTTAAAAGATTTATGATTCATTCAATAAAAAAATTACAAGAACTAAATGTTGATCGTAACGATTTTAATACGTCTAATGTCGTGTTTTCAACATTATATTCCATTTAATCTTAAAATTTATTTTTTATATCATTTATTCAAATAATTTATTTATATTAGTTAAGGATAACAATTAGGTTTTTTTATTACAGGCGTGCTCCCAAAAGGAAAAGTCGCTACAATATTTTATTACAGAATGATTATATGTAAAGTTTCACTTTCACCCCATTTGATTTAAATTAAAAGAAAGAAAGATTCCTCTACGAAAATATGTAAACACAATTCCAAACTCTAAATACAGGCAAAAAATACAACATCACTGATTTACATGCAAATCACGAGTTAAGCTACAAATCTAAACCCTGTTTCAATAGATAACAATACTTTTTTTCCCAGTTCCCACGTTGATTTCAAACCCAAAAAATAATTAAAATTGAAGAAGAAAAGGCCTAAAGAATCGATCAGTGGAGAAGAGAACTAAAAGATGAAGTCATGCTAACTTCGCCTTTTACTTTAAGCTCCAGCGCTTTACTTGAGAAGCCACCGTGGGGTTACACCTTCGGCGGTCGACCGCGGCCTCGCTTAACTCCAGGTGGTGGAGGGGCGATCGCCGGTGTTGCTTTAGCAATCTTCGGGGGGCGTCCGCGTGGCCGTCCGGTGCTGACGGGGGTCTTGGGCTTAGGCGAAGCAGACGGGTCTTTGGGAGGACGACCACGTGGTCTAGGCGGAGAGACGACGGCGCCGGGTGGAAGGGGAGTTTTGGGCTTAGGAGGACGGCCACGGCCACGCTTGGGTGGAGCATTGGGGTCGGGCCTCATGTAATTGTTCTTTACCATCACGATTTGACCGCCGTTTTTCATCTTGTTGAGGTGGTGGGAGAGTACAGTGGCGTGAGCCGCTGGGAGATCCGAGTGAGTCGACTCGATGTGCTTCGCTATTGTTGACTTATTCGACCCGGCTTTCTCGTTCAATGCGTCTATGGCATCCAAAATCATCTGCAAAAAGCAAACCGAAAACGGAAAATAAGATAACATAAAACGACGAACAAGACCCAAAAAAAACTTCTGGGTAAACCTCAAATACCTGAGGATAGTCTGGGAGTAAAGATTGTTGATCCCGGGGAGGACCTTGAGTTTCATTAGCCGCCATTGAAATTCGAAGCTCTTTTTCTCTTTCTTTTGTTCGAGGGAAAAGAGAGGGACTGTTGTTGTGAAGGTAGAGTGATGAGAGGTTGTAGGGTTTAAAAGGAAATGAAGATGGGAGGAAGAAGAAAGGTAGGGGCTATGATCCCACGGCTGGGAATTGCTGAATTAGTTTATTACATATGAGATCACCAAGATCGGTGACGTGGGAGGAAGTCTGGATTTATGAATTGGCAGAATATCAAAATTAGCCCCAAAATTTACTAAAGGATAAACACAAATGGTCTCGGATTATAGGATACGGTTTTAATAAGTCTCTCTATTATTAAAAGTTATAAAATGGTCCTCCAACTATGAAGTGTTGATTTGTTGAGTCACTCGACTATTAAAAGTTACAAAATGGTCACCCGACTATTCATTATGTTCCAAACTCATCCTTTTCTGTTAAAAAGTTGACCGTATCCTGAGCTGAACGTTAACTTGTTGATTGTAATATGATAAAAATATGATCCCAAAATCTCAAACGACTTTCATATCCTAATTATCATGTTAACATTCAACCCAATTTTTTAACGAAAAATGACAAGTTTGGAACATAATGAATAGTCGAGTAACCATTTTGTAACTTTTAATAGTCAAGTGACTACAAAATAACATTCTATAGTCCGACAATCGTTTTGTAACTTTTAATAATCGATGGACTGTTTGTGTATTTTATCCTTCTTTAAAATTGTCATTTCGATTTTTATTTTTGGAATACCTTGGTCTCAACATTTTATTTTAGAACAAGAAGGTACGTAACATTTGATCGAATAGTGGCTTCAATTTTTATTTTTTTAAGCATTTTAATTCTCAAATTTTCAAAGAATTTTGTTTTAAAGCGTTAACTATTTATTAGCTAATTGTTTTCATTCGTAAATAGACCTTTTTGCTCTAAAGTAACACATTGAGAGTTAAAATATTAAAAAAAACAATGATAAAAATAATTATTTAATCATACATTAAATTTTTTTTCTTCCATCATATATTACGTATTTCATCTATTTGGAAAAAAATTATTTTGTGTGTCAACGCTCTATTGGTTCACCAAAAAGTTTTTTAGATTTACTACGACAAATGGGAAAAGGCCACGTGGATCGGAATATGAAAGTATTGAATTTAAAGGTACGGTTGACTTTAAACTTTTAAAAGGGAATATAGGCATGGTCGTACATTATCATAGTCCCCAACCTCGGTTGTCTCGCACTCTCTCGCCTGCGTCTAGTTTTCGAATTCGAAGGTTATCCAAACCGTACAAAAATTTGAGAAATTACTTTATAATTCCTTAAAAATATTACTATTTTTTACATTCCTTCAAAAATGACTTTTTGCACATTCATCTTAAAGAACAAAAATTACTAACGCGTTAATTATATGATACACAGAGAAAAGCCCAAAATCTACTGCAAAACTCAACTCTGAACTGGGCGCTTTCCATGCGGATCTGATGTCAAGGGGCTTGCAAGAGCTGATGTAGAAGCAGAAGCGGTATTAGTATTAAAGGTTGATCCAGATATATGGGAATCCGAAAGACCCGACGTTCCGGCAGTGGAAGAGAATCCAGGAGGCCTGCGGGATCTTCGGTGTCGAGTACCCGGAACTCCGGGTCTCATTGGCTCTTCGAGACTGCCGGGCCTTTTTGACAGCAAAATAACAACCCGGCGCATGTCGGGTCGTAATTGCGGATCACCTTGCGTGCATAGCAGCCCTATTTGGATGCACATAGCTACTTGTTCAGGGACTGCTGATGAGGCCAAGGGAGGGTCCATGAACTCCAAGCTTTTGCCTTTCTTGTAAAGCTTATAAGCCTGCAATAACAAGACACCGCAAATGCCATTGATCAAGTCTTTTCTCTTAGAACCTTGACCTTTCCATTAAGTTAATGTTCGGAATTTCTTTATGACTAAAACTTTTCTTTATGATTATCGACGTCAACAGGATGGAAAAAATGATTCCGAGTTCGAACATATCGTGGGGTCTTTATATACCTAACTTGTCGGGGTTAAATATGGCACGTTTCTACTCGGAGATACTTAAAAGTCCACCTGACATCAGATGAACATGGTGCAAAAGACTGGTGCACGTGAGGTCTTACAAGACAAACATGCAAGAACAGACCACCATGAATAACAAAAAGTTTGTCTGGGTCGAAAGAATGACCGGATTGTAATATATGTTCTTACCCAATCAAGTAGACCTTGAGCATCGACATTGAAGTTGAAGGATGAGTTTTTCTGCCCGCTTATCAGCTCCAGAACCACAACCCCGAAGCTGAACACATCCGCCTTTGCTGAGAGATGTCCGTTCATAACGTATTCCGGTGCCATATATCCACTGTTTTCCAAAGATTCATAAATATAACTCTGTTAAATAAAAATTTAGGACAGAGGGAAGGACTATCATGAAATTCTCAAAAAGACCTTGTCATGTTATCAATTAATGAAGATGCTAGATGACATACTTGGTGCCGGCAACACGGGTGTTGACATGCGTTTGATCCTCAGGGAAGAGGCGAGCCATGCCAAAATCAGCAATCTCGGGGATCCATTTATCATCGAGTAATATATTACCTGCTTTGATATCCCGGTGAATGATGCGGTTGTGCGAGTCTTCATGAAGGTAGAGCAAACCCCGTGCCACACCTGAAATTATTTCATACCTCCTCTTCCAGTCAAGCTCCGATTTTCGATTTGATTCTGCATGAAAAAGACCATCAGCATCCTGGTTATTTGTTTATGTTCTGATATTATAATCAACTTAGTTGTTAAAAACCGGTTTTACCAAGAACCCCCTTGTTTCTACAAGAACTCGTTAACAGATTAGATGCTATATGCAATCAAAATTCATACTTATACAATTTGGTTAACTCTAAGTGAACAAATCTTGAAGCATTTATCCACCCTAAGTGAACAAGGTTACAAACCGACACCGCAAAATCGAGGATAGATCAAGCATGTATGCTGGAAAAGAAGAGTGGGGAAATTAAATTAAAGCAGCGTGTCAAGGTTCAGTCGTCGTTGAAATCCACTGAGATCTGTTTTGAATAAATTAACTGGAACTCTTATTCATCTGTCTACCATTGATTCTCATCATCTTTACGGTAACATACAACCAGCATTTCCAACTTGGAGGTCTCAAATTCGAGTATAGAAATGGGAGGCGTGATCTTAATGGCATGGAAGAGGACTGATTCCTATTGTGTAACCCGAAGATCATATAGTTTCTAAAGGGCTGATAACAGCAAAGAAATTACGGCAACTTACTGAAAAGAAGCTTGTCTAGACTCTCGTTGGTGACGAACTCGTATACCAAAAGCTTTTCCTGGCCATGAACACAGTAACCTAAAAGATTCACAACATTGCGGTGCTGCACACGAGCTAGCAACCGAGCCTCATTCTCAAACTCCCTTTTACCCTGATTTGAGCTATGAGATAGCTTCTTCACTGCAATCTCTCTTCCATCATCTAGTTTCCCCTATAACAATAACCACGTACGAGAAATTCGTTACCGTCTAGGTTGATTAAGAAGAGAAATCAGCATTTTGAAACCAGAAAACAACTAAAGAGCAAAAAGATTGTAAAGCTTGGTAAAAGTTCTAATAACTAGAGAAGCAAGGAAGGTCTAATGAACCAACTGAACTAACAACAAAATTTGGAGTTTCTTGTGCCATTCAATTGCAAATTTGCATGCATTGACTTTTGTTCTTAGCATCTGAGATTAGACAAATCTAAAGGGGGAAATGGTTCAATCATTAATAAAGCTGATATTCAAAATGAGATACTCAAGTAGTTTGAAACTTTAAATACCTAAAAAGGAGTAGGAAAAAAAATCGTCCTTTAAAGAATCTATAACTATTCAGCGAATCAAAGGGCAAACCAAGTTCAGCTAAAGTTATCCCTCTATTTTCTAGGCAACCAAACAAGAGTTTTCAGTGGTTAGATCTTACCCTATAGACAGGTCCAAAACCGCCTTCACCGAGCTTCTGATGATGGTGGAAATTGTTGGTAGCAGCAACTAAAATCTCGAAAGGGAAATGCTTTTGCTCTTGTTGAGCTATTTTATGCAAGTCATCTCCAATCCGTCTATCTGATCAGACCCAGAAAAAAAAACCAGAAATCACCAAACATGTAGAAAAGCATCAAACTTTTCCTCTTCAATTTTTGTAATTTTCTCATTGACAAATTCTGGGTTTTCCATGTTACCTTTGCCCGAGTTGAACTTGAAAGGTTTGATTAGATTCCGCAAGAACTCCTTGGATTTGTTCATCAGATTTAGAAACTTGGCGATTCTGGAAATGATGACCTAAGCACCATGAAATGAAAGGATCTTCTAAAACAAATAAATTATGGGGGGAAATGGAGCTTTACCAGTTGGAAGATCAAGAGGAAAGCTTTAACGACAACTTTTGTAAGGCACAACGTTTTCGCGTTCGTTTTGTCGATAGGCGCAAAACAGAGAAATATATATGCATATGAACATAACGTGTTGACTAGCTATTTGACACTTGACTATTTCTCCATTGTCATCTTGTGTTTTCACCTTCCTTTAAGCTGTTGTTTCTACTTTTAACCACCACGAAAACAATGAAAAATTAACTGGCTTTCTTCTATCGTTCCGGCCGGTCACTGATACCGCCGGTGGTCCTTCTATGACGCCGCGGGTAATATATAAAAAAAAAACTCGTTCCACCCTCTTTGTCCCTTGTTTAGCTGGACAAAATTTTAGAGATAGAAAACGAGTCACTCCCGCATTTGCTTTTGGCGAGTTAACTCGTTCTCTATCATCTTCTTCGATTTCGAGTTCAACGTTTCAGTTCCAAAACATAATTTTAAGCAATTGCTTAATACCAAAATAAGTGCCCTAAAACTTAAATAAGGTGTTTAAATTAATTTTTGTTTTATCCTAAATGCCTAACATTACCACTGTTACTCGTTTAGGTATTTGGTTAATTTCTACATATAATTGATATGTGTCATAATTTGGTGATTTTGAAATTTATTTTTTAGAATAAAATATTAAAAATATTATGATATTTATAAAAAAATATTAACTTTTCTTATATTATAAAACGACCTAAAATTTCAAATC